CCAAAATGTACTCCCGGAGGTCAGATAGTTCTAAAATGTGCTGCCGGAGGTCAGATAGTTCCAAAATGTACTCCCGGAGGTCAGATAGTTCTAAAATGTGCTGCCGGAGGTCAGATAGTTCCAAAATGTACTCCCGGAGGTCAGATAGTTCCAAAATGTGCTGCCGGAGGTCAGATAGTTCCAAAATGTGCTGCCGGAGGTCAGATAGTTCCAAAATGTGCTGCCGGAGGTCAGATAGTTTCAACATTTGCTACCAGAATATGAGTAGTTCAAAACTGTATTACTAAAAGGCGGATAGTTCCAAGTGTGTTACTAAGGGGCGGGCAATGAGGTCATCTATAGGGAGCGTCATCAGCGATGCAGCCAATTATGCAGGCAGATGTTTTATCATGTTGTTTACAAACAAACCACCAGGGTGCTCTTGAACCTGTCTGAACACTATTTTCAAGTGTTGTCATGTTATACAAGATAAAAACTACCACTTCATTTCTATAGTTCTTAACATTATATAATTCCTGCTTTATCGTTACATGCAACTTTTTAGTTCGTAGTGTCACTTCAATGACCATTTATTCAACAATAAATAAATGTTTGAATACGTAAAATGAGTATTTTTTGTATTAACTTGCGACGATTTGTACAGCATACAGTGCCTTGCAAAAGTATTCACCACTACCATTAATGTGAAATTTTGCTGAAATACAAATAATGTAATTTTTTTAACAAACTTGTTTTTATTCAAAACTCTAATGATCAAACTTAACACTGTTGTGTGTGAAAGAGGTTGAATGCTAGTAAAACATGCAAAGAAAATATATGAACTGAAATCTACTGATTGCATAAGTATTCAGCCCCCTGAGCCAATATTTGGTTGAAGCACCTTTGCCAGCAATTACTGCTGTGAGTCTTTTTGGAGAGATCTTTACCAGCTTTGCACAATGGGATGGTGTCAGTTTTGCCCATTCTTCCTGGTAAAATTACTTTAATTCTAACAAGTTCGTTGGGGATCGTTGATGCACTGCAATCTTCAAGTCTCACCATAAATATCCCATTGGATTCAAGTCAGAACATTGACTGGGCCACTCCGGGACATACACTTTCTTCTTTTGAAACCACTATAGTGTGACTTTGACCTTGTGCTTCGGATCATTGTCCTGCTGAAATGTGAATTTTCGACCCAGTTTTAGATTCTTGAGTGACTCAAGCAGGTTTTCCTCTAGATATCGCCTGTACTTTGCATCATCTATCTTTCCCTCAATCCTGACAAACATCTTAGTCCCTGCTGATGAGAAGCATTCCCATAACATGATGCTGCCACCACCATGTTTGACAGTTAGGATGGTGTTGACTGGGTGATGTGCTGTCAGAACTAAAGCAGTTTTACCAGGAAGAATGTATAACATGACAAAACTTGGCAATTATGTTCAGACAGTTTCAACAACGCCGTCTGATGATTCGCTCACGAACCACATAACAACACACCTGCCTGCACAATTAGTTGCACCACCACTGATGATTCTCTCCATAGATGATTTCATCGCCCACCCCTATTAGCAAAATTTGGAACCATCCACCACTAGTAGCACGTTTTAGAACTATTCGCCTCTGACAACACAATTTAGAACTATCTGCCTCAAGTAGTAAAATATACCCAGACCACAGTAACACATTTTGGGACTATTCATCCTCTTACGCTACCTTGTGGAATTATGGCGTAATAGGTCACACGAATATCTACATTCGAAATATACCTCCCACTGGGTAGCAACCATTGATCTACACTCACGGAGAACCCCCATCGCCACTAAGGAAGTTATATAGGAGGGTTAATTACTTACATTCGATATTTAAACAAATTTCACTGAAACTACAATATGTACGATAAAAATACGATTAATATATCTATTTATATAATGTGTGAATTTTCGAATTTTTCGGAAAACTAAAAAACACAAAACAAGTTGATAATGTTATAACAGCAACTTAAAATTACTGACATTTCTCAAAATGATAAAATATGGCGTGATTCCTTGGCTATAATAGATATTTCTGGTACTCCATTTAATGTGTTGAGTGATCTCTGAGGGTGGAAATCCCTGCTTTAGGGAATCCAATTATTTAAAGCTCATTTCATCCAAACCTGTTATTTATCTATCTATTAAAAATCGCTTTTATCCTGTCTTCATAAAATATGCCCTCCAGTGGTGCAGCGGTATGTCTGCGGACTTACACTGCTACAAACCGGGTTTTGATATCCGTGGTGGGCAGAGCACAGATAGCTTACTATGTAGCTTTGTGCTTAACTACAAACTCATAAAACATTGTACAACATGTTTATTTACTTTAATTTTAAAACTAGTTCATCTTTAGTCATTTATATTTCAATATGTAATAAATGTGAAAATAATTGTCTTGAGCAAAATCTCGTCTTATTTCTTTCGGAAAAATACTGAAAATTCTAAACTGTATAAAAACATTATGCTATTCGTGTATTTCACTGCAGGAAATTAGTGATCATTCAGTTTAAAAATGCTAATTTTTAATTTTGTTTATTGTTTTATTTAATATTAAGCACAAAGCTACACAGTTGGCTATCTGCGTATCGAAACCCGGTTTTTTAGTGTTATAATCCTAAAGATTTACAATTGAGCCACTGGGGACTAATTTTTAATAGAAAAATAAAAAACTCGTGAATGTATGAATAATTATTCACGTGTCGAATATACCGTCAACCAGAATACATTAAACTGAAAAAATAAATAAAACAGTAAAATATACGGCCTGAATAAAAGTTCCAAGTACCATTGGCCTTTATTAGAATAGTGTCAACTGTAGAAAACTTAGCATACTTTACAAAATGGTTTAACGTGGTTCGTTTCGAATTTTGTGTAAAGGTACAACAAGGTTATCTGCGCTGGCCGTTCCTAATTCAGCAGTGAAAGACTAGAGGGAAGGCGGTTAGTCATCACTACCCACCGCCAACTCTTAGACTATTCTTTTACCAAGGAGTAGTGGGATTAACCATCACATTATAATGCCCCCACGGCTGAAATGGAGGGACAGGAATTCGAACCCGCGACCGGCAGATTGCTAGTCGAGCTCCTTAACCACTTAGCCATGCCAGGTTGTTTCACAAAAATGAGCCGCCAAAAAGGAAGTCATAACAAGTGAGTTGTGACATTTCATGAATATTTCATAAATGTTTAAGATATTTATTGGTTCTAGACCAACGCTTCCTGTAGTATTTCTATGAACAACTGACCTCACAAGAATCCAGTCCACCTTTTGATAGTCCTGCACAGATAAAGATATCTGGTATATCTTCTATGTACCCAGCTTTTCTGTACATATCCATACAATCCCTGTTTGTTATCACAGAGACGTCCACGTTTTGAAGAATGTCTGGTAGAGGACCGTCTGAAAAAAAGAAAAAAAAGAGTTAGTTATAAAGCAAAAGTCAACCATCTTTTTAATTCATTTTTATAAAGTTAAATATCTAATGATCTGCAAAGTGATCTGAAATATCCCAGTAAATGTGAGGTTGATAGAAGTGGCTTTACAATTTTACCGATCATGACTTTCTGCTTCAATATGGAATATGCTCAGTATGATTCCCAGTTTGTCCCTGAAGAGGAAAGGCCCACCTTTCAAAAATTCTTGGGTTATAGTTTTTTTTTTTCTATTCAGTATGATCAGTAAGAGATACCTGGCAGTGATGCTGCATGTGGATGCGATGCGATCCCCAAGAGTATCCCATATATGCTTGATGGGATTGAAGTCCAGTAAGCATGCAGGTCTCTTCATTCATTCCACCATTCTCTTCCTCTTCAAGGGGTGGTGAACCAGTTTAGTAAGTTAGAAGCGAGCATTTATTATCCTTTAGTCTCAGGTCAGGACCAACTGCCAAACGGTTGTAGGATGTGGTCCACATAACAGCATAGCTTCACAATATTGCTTATTTTTTTTGCACACACAATACTTCCCTACTGCTATATGCGCCATGTCCTTGTATGTGTTTGATTTGCTTCTAGATTTTTTTCCATGTGAATTTATGGCTGTTATAAAAAATTGTAAAAGTAAAATGAGAAAGATATAACGTAATGCTGATGTACTGGACATACTAGTTGAGCTATCGTAGACGAGCTGTTTTATGCCTTGGTGTATGTAGAATGCACTTCATTGGACTTAAGGTATACAGGTCAACATTGTGAAACGGCATACATTTGTTTTTTGCGACTGTGAATATTTGATTCAGTCTCGGGGCTGGTATCCTATGATTCGGAAAGCCAAAACCGACAGAGAGCGGTCATATGATAGTCGGCCTTTTTCAGGTGTCCGAGCAATTGTATCATTCTTTTTAAAGCGGTTCCACATTCTACTAAATGACATTTGTACTGAGTGAATAGCAGCTTGCCGTGATTGGCCAGTCTTTCTATTTTTCCTTGGCTCGTGGGTGAAAACATTCAAAATTCGCAGTTCGTAAAAAAGTTGTTGCATTTTAAATTCTGTAATTCACTACAAATTACCAAGTGAGACGATGTCTGATTTGCATAACAATGAACTACGGTTTGTTTGTAATTAAGCAAAAAGCTACACAATGAGCTATCTGTGCTCTGCCAACCACGGGTATCGAAACCCGGATTCTAGCGTTGTAAGTCTGCAGACATTCCGCTGTGCCACTGGTGTGGTGGGGGGGGGGCTGAACTACGGAGGATGACTGACATTATGGTATTGTTTTTTCATATTTATAGTATTACAAATTGTCATTATCCTTTATTTTTGAATTATTTTATTGCCGCGTTATAGATAAAACAAACTCGTCCAGTGTCAGACGTATTCTCTAATATAAAAATGCAAAACAAAAAGACAAAAAGTAATACTTCATTACTGATCTGAAATTATAAACTATGGTAATCTGTGGGTAGTTTGAAGAGAAATACCCTTTCATTTCTTTATGGTGATACAGTATTCCAAACTGTTAATATCAGACGTTTTATGGCTAAACAAAGATTGTATAGAATGCCCTATATTTGTGCCCACATGGCAATGTTAGAGAGGGGGGAGGGGCATATATCATACGTGTTTCTATGTCAGTGAATGAATATTGTGTACATATAAAAATGGTTTACAAAGTTAAGTTATACTCTTTATAAAGATATACAGACACTGATAAAACACAAATTCAATTAATGGTCATATTGCTTTTATGAGGTCAATAAGGAGCACTAGGCTTGCTTTTTCTCTACTTTAATATAAGCTTCTAAAAAATAAGTCAGTATTTGTCACAAGGTAGAGTTTAATTTTGTTGAAAATGATAAAAAAAAGTATTCTATACAACCTTAATTCTATTTAATCGAATGAGCCTAAACTGATTTAAATATATACATTTAATCTAAAATCATCTTAACTTTCATATAACAGTTTTTTTTTTGGGGGGGGAGGTAGATATTATTGTTCACTCACCTTCATAGAGCCTACCCCAGCCAGTAATTGTGGCGTTTTGACCAACATAGTTTTTGTTTCCTGAAGGAATACAAATAGGCAGTATGTTTCTCTGGAATGTTACAGGTTCGTAAAACCTCAGCAAGGCGAGATCGTACTCAAATGTGGCCCTGTCAAATTTGGGATAAGAAGCGACCAGCTGTACTCGTCGTTCTATGTGACTAATTGGCTCATTTTCATTGTGTATGTTATATTCACCAAGCCGGAGGAGGAGTTGAGATGAAGGTACACTGGGAATATGAAGAATTATTATTTGATTATATACATATATCCATAAAGCAACTTCAACAGTGGAGAATTAATCTGAAACTTCGTCCAAATTTTACAATGAGAGAAGAAAAAACAAATACATATTTATATCAATTCTTGGTACACTGGTTAAGCAAAAAATATAATTGACACTTCTCAATTCTAAAGTGCTCTCAATAACGTACATTTCCAGTGATCTGTCCTTGACACTGATGCAGACCTACTGTCTATCAGATGATTCTCTCCACAAGCTTACCTTGTTATCACCTCCAGATACTGCAAGGATGTTTCCAGTTACAAACCAGCTTACATGCCAAACAACATCATCAAAAGTGTGAAGAACTTTATAATTCCAGACTATCACTCTTCAATCCTGCGAACAACTGGCCATAATACTGCGAGGTAAGCCAATGAAGGGATCCCAAGCTACATCTCTAACCCAATCAGAGTGAGCTTCAAGTTTCTGTTCTTCCACCCATTGATCTTCCTCCACACATCTCCAGATCTTAACCAAGTTGTCACAACCACCAGTAAAAAACCGTTTCGCAAGTTTAGGCTTCTGTACAGGAGCTTGATTTACCAATGATCCCCGTTCTATTGCAGGAGCCCAGCTGACAGCATTACAGCCGATTGTGTGAGCATTATTGATTTTCTGAGTTTCCCAAGTTCCATCTCCTGAACTAGACAATACTGATACAGCACCATCTGAGCTCCCACAAATCAAAATTAAGGCTACTTCATGTGGTGCCCAAGAGAGGGAGTTAACTGAAGAATCATGATTATCATGGTCATAGATTTTCTTCCATTCTCCTTCACATTCTTGTCAGAGGATGACTTTCCTGCCATAAGAACAAGAAGCAAGGATATTGCCGAACACTGGGTGAGATCAGGTTACTTGCCAGACCGGTCCTTCATGTTCTCTCAGATCAGCTATTAGTTTCTGAGTGTCATTCTGAACTTCAAATATTTTCACTGATCGATCAGATGAACATGTTGCCAACCGTGTCCCATATTAGTCCATCTGATCATCATGAATCATATTCTCATGCGCAGGATCAAATGTTTGCTATAGTGAAACGTCTTTGGTATTCTTAAGTCCAAGCATACTGAAGCAGCGAATTTCCTTCCGTCAATTCGGGCTTGTTAAATTATTGCTAAGCTTGTGGAGTGTATCACCTGATAGACAGTGGGTTTGCATCAGTGATGTTAATATAGGTCAAGGACAGATCACTGGAAATGTACTTTCCTGAGAAAGAGCATTTTAGAATTGAGAAGTGTTAATATTTGTTTTTACCTAACAATTGTACCAAGAATTGATTATATATATATATATATATATTCAACTGTATTTTATATACTCGTATACTCTTGCTCTATCACTATAGCATGTGTGGAATAATTGTACAACTATAAAGTTACGACAAAGAACGAACTGCTATAATTGAATTCAGTTCAAAACAGCAAAAGTTTGTTTGATGGATTTTGCACAAAGCTACACGAGGGCTATCTACGCTAACCGTCCCTAATTTTCATGTGGTAAACTACAGGTAAGGCAGCTACTCAACACCACCCACAGTCAACTCTTGTGCTACTCCTGACAGATTAAATAGTGGGATTTGACTGTCACATTTATAACGCATCAACTACTTTAAAAGTAAAGAGAAAGGTTTCTCTCTCTCTCTTTTTTTTACGGTGATGGGACACGAACCACTGAACCTCAGCTCTACAGTTCGGTACATTAACCCCTGGGCAGCGTTCGGCGCACAACAACAAAAGAAAGAAAGAAGTTAATACCTCTTAGATCTGTATCATAAAAACTCCCATCTTTTGAAATAGTGACATTGTTAGCTGTTGTTTGAAATTGTCAGAATTAAGACAATTAATCCAGGATATCACTGTCCATCATGTATTTCAGTAGTCTTAAACATCATACAAAAGTTAAATCAGTGTAATGAATATAATAAGGAGAATTACGTTTATTTAAATATATAGACATGGTTACAATACTAGTAAATACATACATTTTTCGATTTCTACGTAAGCACCCAATTAACAGAACAGACAGTCAACTTTACCTCAATAGTTGGATGAAAAAGTCAGTGTGTTTTTAATTGTGTGTATGTGTGAATTGGTGAAGTGGCGGGGGGCAGTGTGCAAGAAAGCGAAAGAAATGTGTCGAGAAGCTCTTTAAGTAATTATACCTCTACACCCTTCCTGCTAGACTACAGCTATGTTACAGCATAATCGCTACAAGTTTCTGGCCTTATTTAAACTTTAAGAAGCTTCTGCAAGATAAATAAAAATGACTTCTGGCTGTAAAACCGTATCGCTGTTTTTCATGTCAGTAACAATATTTTATGCGAACATTTACAAAGGTACCCTCTACATGCTTTAAAATTATTCCACTGAAAAAACTAAATGTAAGTGAAATATGAATTTACAGCTATACGTAATTTCATCCCAAAGTAATTTGGTGTCAGTAGGTGGCGTAACACAGATAACGCAAATTTTACTATAATAGGTAATTAAAATGTACTTTTACATCTGTGACGGGTTCACCCTGATTTATCTATTTTGATATCGATATTTAAGTTAAATTTATATTTAAAAATGTACATAACGTATACTGTTAAATATGTATTGCGAAACTCCCGCCTGTTCACTAAAGTTGTAGAAGATTCTTGATTGTAAGAATCAACAATATATATGTGCGTACGTAAACACTGGTGTATCGTCAGTATTATTGTGCAGGCTGAAATTTCGAGAAACTCTCTTCATGCTTATAAGTACAACCAACGCGTCGCGTCAAAAGACAGTATATATTATTGGTTTGCTACAGTTGGTATACTATAAACTTAGGAAGCCATAATTTTGATTAACGCTTTTTTAATCGAGAAACTTCAGATATTTGACCAGGAACGTTTATAGATTTCAAACATTACAAATCATTTAACTTCAGTGGGTTCACATCGGACATTAGTACTTTTACGAAGACATTATATAACTTCAGCGGTAAAAAAACTCGACCTCTAATCGGAGTGTGATCAGCGAGAACTACAGAGCTGGCTAGCTTCCTGTTAAATGAATTGTAACTACGTCAACTAAAAATTAATTCGCTTATCGTGAACTCTCGATAAGACATCAAGGAAGTTCCAGACTAGAAATAAGACTTTATATATTGTATGTAAGGCTTTTGTACATAGATCATTATTTGTAATAACTGTTATTGTAAATTGTACTCTTGTTTGTATACTAAAGAAGATGTGTGTGTATCAAACTTGTTGATAAATATCATAAATTGGATACATATCGGCATTTAGTTAACTATTAAATCTAAATTACAATTTAACTCAGTTTTAGTCTATTTGAAATTGTAATACGTAACACAGAACATTTAATAAATAAAACGAAATGATAAATGACTTACACATAAGTGTAGTTTACAGTAAACTGTTTTATATAGACAATCAACGGATTCTCCTTGAACTGTATGTAGCAATATGAAAAGTTTTATATTTGATAATAAAATGGCATATTATTAACAGACGCGCATATGGAATTGACACAGAAAAGCAACAGAAATTGCGATAGTTGTGCAAAGTTACACAACTGATAAACTAGGGAGAAAGCAGTTAGTCAACAGCATCTACTGCCAGATCTTAGGCTAGTCTAATCGGATGTGACTTGATCATATTACTCGGATAACCCATCCACGGTCCCGAAGTGCGGATCGCGATGTTAAAGGGAAAATTGCTGCCAAGTAGTTCAGTTTATACTTGTTCAATGTTTCATAAGGAGGTGTTTCCGTTACACAAACATAAATCAAATCTCAAAATTAAAAAATGATTTATTAGAAAGAGTATGATAAGTGCAAAGAGTTTAATGTAAGAAGCAATAAGTAACTTGGAACCGTATAAACATCGGCACACTCCTGTTGATATCTTGGAACTGTATAAACATCGGCACACTCCTGTTGATATCTTGGAACTGTATAAACATCGGCACACTCCTGTTGATATACATTATCCACTTTTCCATGAAACAATTTATAATGAAAGAATGATAACCTTTTCAGCTTTGGCGAATAGCACTCAGTAGCTCAGTGGGATTTCGAATGACTAATAACGCTAAAAACCGGGTTTCAGTACTAGTGGTGGGCACAATACATTTAGCTTATTGTGTATCTTTGTGCTTAACAGCAAACAAACTTTCAGTAGTACAATGAATGGAAGACGAAAGTGTACAACGTTCTATATATCCAATGAGTTTTTAAAAGGCTTAATAATATATATATATATACACACACATTATCATTTCTCAAAAATATTTCCTGCATCCTCTTCTTTGAATAAACATGAAAACAAAACAGCTGATAATAGCTTGAGAAACTTAGGGCAGTTCTTTACGCAGTGCTTTCAAAAAACATTGAAAGAAGCACAGTATTTGAATTTTCAACCCTAATATTTTGTACAGTGGGAGTTGATTCTAAAACTTACTTTTGCACACAGTGAGCTGCAGTGATTGCCCAGAGTTCGTTAAGTAAGGCTGCCCCACATTTATGAATGAACTTATTTTTCTTCCATTGTCGAAGGGAGATCTATAATGACAAATCAACCAGGCAGATAATTATCTGTGGGCTATTGCGTAATCCATAAAATAACAAATAAAGAAACTTTGTAGTGAAGTTTGAAGTGAGCATTAGCTCAGTAAAGACAGAGTAAAAGGTGTAATAAAGCGTCATTGAAATGACTCAACAGCAATATTTGTGGAAGAAACAAATGTAGTGAAGTTTGAAGTGAGCATTAGCTCAGTAAAGACAGAGTAAAAGGTGTAATAAAGCGTCATTGAAATGACTCAACAGCAATATTTGTGGAAGAAACAAAGATTTCAGATATTTGTTAACGTAAGTGCGCCTCACGTGGCAGAATTTAGTTTCCTGGTATATATATTTATATATATATGAACTGTATGTAACTGGATTACAAAGTACTTTTCATATTAAAAGAAACAAAATTTCGATAATTCCCACCACCGTTTAACAAAATGGTCATAATATATCATTCACAGATTTCTTAACTAACCTTATGTATGCTATAAACCATACAAATGAAGATGGACTTCATTTAACAAAGAAAAACAAATCCTAAGAAATCATGAAATCAGTAAAATATAATCAAAAACAGTAAAAGAGCTAAATAGGAGAATTGTAGAATTAGAAAAGTAAAAGAGATGCATACAGTGGATGATGATAAGGGAACTCATTGAAACGTTGTATATACTAATATTCTTTAATTATACATATCACGATTTTAGAAAGAAATTACATAAAATTCTAAAATGTAATCAGAGAAAATTATAAACATGATATATAAGGTTTTTATAGACAGATTTCAAACAATGAAACTTTTTAAGTTGGTGGATACTTCTTTTGTATAATGAAATTTCAATGCTTCAACCGACAAAACTTTTCGTCTTTTTTTAACCCAGAATACATTATCTTTAAAAGCCCACCGTGCTTTATTGATTTATTACAATATATACAATTTCGGTCTGTTTTTATACTGTAGGATTTATTTACTAGCTACAAATCTACATACGTTAATAAAATAATACACTGCACATCTCGCATTCATGTGTTCATCAGAGACATGTTAAAGCAATATTTCCAAAACTTGTACATGTAGTAGAAAATGAGGGAACATTTTATTACATGTTTAAGAAACTCTGCTTAGTTCAGCTTGAGGTAACTTTCTTACTTGTATTTTTAGTGATTAATTCTGTGTACGGACAGTAAGCTTTACCTGTAATATATATAACACCTTACTATATATAATTTTGATCAGTGTATTTTTTACACAGCTTCTCATTTTTTCTTCTCTTTTTATCTCAACTTCAAAGATAGAATAATGTCACAAAAATTTTATTATATTTCATTTTCAAACTTATAAAATTTGATAATTTCCCACAGTGTAGCACATACACAACCAACTTCGGCAACGTTTGTTATACTTATCATCCCAGTGTACCATATAAACAACCAAATTCGGCAACGTGTGTTATACTTATCATCCCAGTGTACCATATAAATAACCAATTTCGGCAACGTTTGTTATACTTATCATCCCAGTGTACCATATAAATAACCAATTTCGGCAACGTGTGTTATACTTATCATCCCAGTGTACCATATAAATAACCAAATTCGGCAACGTGTGTTATACTTATCATCCCAGTGTACCATATAAATAACCAATTTCGGCAACGTGTGTTATACTTATCATCCCAGTGTACCATATAAACAACCAATTTCGGCAACGTGTGGTATACTTACCATACGAGAGTACCACATACACAACCAACTTCGGCAACGTTTGTTATACTTACTATCCCAGAGTACCACATACACAATATTTTGTTATGTTTATCACCCCAGTGTACCAGATACACAACCAAACTTTTATTATACTTATCGTCCCAATGTATCACATACACAAACAAACATTTGTTATACTTACAACCCCAATGTATCACATACACAAACAAACATTTGTTATACTTACAACCCCAATGTACCACATACACAAACAAACATTTGTTATACTTACAACCCCAATGTATCACATACACAAACAAACATTTGTTATACTTACAACCCCAATGTACCACATACACAAACAAACATTTGTTATACTTACAACCCCAATGTATCACATACACAAACAAACATTTGTTATACTTACCATCCATGGCCATTCTCCAAAATCGGACGTCTCTCCACCAACGATTCTCCCAACAGGACCCAAATGAGGACTGCCACACACTATTACAAAAATTCCAATTTTCATGGTTTGTTTTATCCAAACATATTCAAGAATTTGTCACGATTTTTTAAAAACCGAAAAATTTGTTTAATATGTGTGGAACTATAAAAAAAAATATAATAACTAAATTGATACAAGACATGCAGATAAACGTGAATTGCACTGAAGGTTAAATACCAACACGAAAGTGGTTTTAGTTAAACTATAATATATAACAGAATGAACATTATTCGAAGATCAAAAATTATATAAAAATCCAATATAACAACCAAATTTTCGGGATACGTGTAGCTGACTTTAACTAACCAGAACAAAAATTTTCAGTAGTAAAAGATTTAAACCGCTCACCACAAATATAAGAATTATATAAATCACGATCACAAAATCCACAAGAATATTTGTTTATACTTAAAAGTTTCGGCTTCTGCCTTTCTCATGGGTTGTTTGCTGTTGCCATCACAACAATTTAAATTATACGTTGTAGAAAACAACACAGAATAATCTATATAAATATAATAGTATTGTCTGTTGTATGTCCATGTAATTACTTTGCAGTGTGTAAATGGATCTTCACCAAAATTGATATGGAGGTTCATTAGGTCCATGCGGGGGTACATACAAATTTTGAGTTTTACGTTTTGCGGTTTTTGCCACTACTTCGCCCCCTGTAGATGGATCTTCACCAAATTTGGTATGGAAGTTCATTGGGTCCACAGGGAGATACATAAGAATCTTAAGATTTGCATTTTACAGTTTTTATGGACATTTTTTACAATTACATATAAGGGAAGGAACTTTTAATGTCCTAAGATAACCTTTCATTAATCATGAATTACATAACTTCCGTCCAGTGGACGGGTACTCCAGCTAGTATAAAATATATTTGGTGGAACATGATGCAATATCAATTGTTAATTTTTATTCCCTCATTAAGATGTGTAATTTCAGAGAAGAAAAGAAAAAGGCAATGAATGACGTAAAGGTCTAAACTATTCATTGATTCACTGAAAAACAAGGGGATATAATATTGTTTTAAGGAAAAGAGACACTACAGGTAAAGAAATAACTTTGAAGATACAAGTATAAAATATGCTAAGAAATTAGATCACATTAAAGGTTAAAGAGAAATGTTTGTGCTTCATAGCAATATAAAAAATATGCATTAATACACGTGTTTCATTTTTAGTATAATTAGTCAAAATGAAAACATAAAATTAAGTAAAATAAACTTGTACCAGAATCACTATGTATAAGATAATATTAGGTAGGGCGGAATTAAGCACGGAAAAATACAATGGAAACATTTTAAAGTGTAAGATAGTTAAGTTAGGTACCCAAAACCAATTGTATCATTTACTAATTTTCATCTATTAGCTCCATACTTATAAATAGGCAAACATATATAGAAATCGCATAGGCCAAATTCTATTATGATTCGTGGAGGGTTTTTGACCTTAATAAAATTTTTCTTCTGGATTTTATGATCGTTATTTTTTGTTTGTTTGTTTGTTTG